ACTGACATGTGATGCGTCCCCGTACGGCGTGGGTTCGGTCCGCCTTCTGGTGCCGAGATGTCGATTGCCTCTCTATCAAGAGCAAGACCTCTGGTGGAAACCAACTATTCATAGCTAGATAAAAAGACCCTAGCAAAAATGTCTAACCGACAGTACTTCCACTTTTATCTTTTTGGCCGACATTTCAAGATTCACACTGTTTACAAACCCCTCTTAGGTTTGTCGGTTGAAAAACGAGGGCTACAACAAATGTCCCCGCCGACAATGCAATGAAGGGCATTCACTCTGTTCGCTTGCGCATATGCGATAAATTACATTACAGGTAATGAAAACGTGATGCCTTGAGTAGGCTTCCAAATTGTAGACGCTGGCGTTGACGAATCACCTGCTTTGGCGAACTCTTTCCCAACGAAAGTGTCCACACGCGAGTGGAACAGCAGTTCGAAAACGTGAAGAAAGTGGAGTAGAATTACTATTAGAAGGTGGGATAATTGTGCACTGAACAAGTCCGCAGCTGGACGAACATAGAAAGCAAGGGGTTAGGGAGAGTCAAACTGCCAACATCGATCAAAACGCTCCAACCAAGATTTGTATTGGCCATCTTCCTACTAGTCTGCCCAGCACTTAGTTAAGGGGGACGGAGAAACCACTGGCTCTGCAGAACGGTGCGCAGGTCGAAAATATCGCCCCAATCCGAATCCGTCGAATGTTTTCAAGACGAAATCCTGCATTACTCTTACTATTTCCTCCCCCTTCCCGATTTTGTCTACTTTAGGGTGGAGGGCTGCAGCGTTTACTACCCGTACTGTCTAGACATCGCGCCGGATGTGCGCGGCAAGCGAACATTCAAGGTCATGTACGCACGTCTAGATCACCTTTGTTTAGCCTCTGACATTTCTCCAAGGCCAGATATCCTATCGCGTGCCCAAGAGTCCCCCGTTATTAGTGCAAGCCCTGTCTACAACCAGCGATTTGTTTTGGATATCTAACGGTCCTGGGATTGACGACCTGCGTATCCGAGTGTGTCCAGAGCGATGAAATCGATAAGCTGACACGGCCGCGTCGCCATGGTAGCGTTATCACTGGGACCGTGCATGTCTTTCAGTCTCCGGGCCAATTTACCGCTGAAATCAAAACAGAGAGCCGGCACAGTTAACCTCATGGTAGCTCACACTGGGGTCTTCTGTGAGGTGGCAAGTGGAGCCGCATCATGCAGATGATAAGATAGTACTCTGTTCAGTCGTTGGCTTCGCGGATCACCCTGGTCAGCCTCTCAATCTCTCGTCTGGACGAGACGTAATCGGACATCTGCTAGCGTCGCGGAAGTCGACTATATGTACCCTCACGTTGCCTTCTACTGCATCAGAAGGTGGAGCACGGTGTTGCTTAGCGGGAGATGATACTCCGCGCAGGTTCGCAGAATAAGGAGACCGTTTTTTTGCAATTAGCAATACTATGGGGGCCCCAGC